CCGCTACGCGTGTGTGTGTGTGTGTGTGTGTGTGCGCGTGCGCGTGTGCATGTGTGTGTGTGTGTGTGTGTGTGTGTGAATGTGTGAGTGTGAGTGTGTGTGTGTGTGTGTGTGTGTGTGCGCTAGCATTCGAGTGTATGAAGAAGGAAAGATAGAGTGTGAGAAAGTATGGAAACATCTGCAACCACACTTAAGTGCTTCCATACCCCGTCCCTGAGGTGACACTTTGTTGTCAAGGCCTGGTCCTTGCTGCACTGAGGTAGAAGTGTCTGTGCTGATCGTTAGAGAACGACCAAAGATCACACAAGATGACATCATAAGCGAGTGAACATTTCGACAGTTATTCACACCGCTGTAGCCATCCATCCAACTCGGAATTCCAAGAACAGATGTCAAGAGTGAAAGGTGCCAAACTGCAGCAGCGTACAAGAGTCCTGCCAACACCTGTGAAGGTCCACATCTTGCTTTCATATTTGCAGAGATCAAGCTTAAATTCCCCTCATTTGTCAGTCTCTTCTTTTACCATTCTGAGCTTTCAGAATATGAACACATCGCTAAATGTGGGCACATCTGCAGTCACTATACGTTATTAGCAGGCTCACATTGTCTGCACTTTCTTGGGGGGAATTCTCCAAAACCGATTGTCAAATGTGTTGTAAGGAGGTGACAGTGCAACATTTGTATTGGTACATGGAAGCATCATTAAAATAGCCATTTAAAAAACAAATATGCAAAAGGATGTGTATCACTTTGTGAATGATATCAGGGTTTCTGCAAGACCTTTTTAAGTATTAAATTAAAGGGACACAATATGTCATTAGGTTCTCTAAATGTAAATGTCTAAGCAGAACACAATGAGATGTATTAGCAGCACAACATCCAAACGACCTCCATTACTTTTTAATTAATTTGACAAAAAATAGAATGTGGGAATAGCTTTCATTGTACCTTCTAATCACACTGCACAAAAGTAATGATCCTTCCAAGTATTTTTGTCTTGTTTTTCAGTGTAAATATGCATTAAATTAAAAATCCAGATGCAAAAATGACATTTGATGAGAAGTCTTGGTTTCTGGGAAATGTATTAAAATTAAGTGAATTTACGATTTAAATAATATCAAACATCTGCCCATGAGAGAAATCTAATTCAAAGGGTTTTCGAAAAAGTTTTCATACCCCTTTGACAGATATTTGTTCTTGTTTTAAGCATAAACTCACTTAATTCCTCAAAAAAACAACACTTCATATCTTCAATTTGCATCTCAAGTAAATGAATCTTGATTTAAAGATGTTCAGATATTTGTACTTGAAAACAAGACAAAAATACTGACAAAAATATACATTTTCTGCAGTGCATGAAACATTTAATGCCATGGACTGTATGAATTTAAGACTTTTTGCTCCGATTTAAGACCTTAATTTGTGGACGAATAAATTAAGACTTTTAAGGACAAGTCTTAATTTATTCTTCCACAAATTAAGGTCTTAAATTGGAGCAAAAAGTCTGCATAAACCCTGGATATGTATCACTGAGATGCGGTTGGACTGGGTATCAATACAGATTTCCAAGTATGATTTGATCCTGATTCAAGAATCTTGATTCAATTTGGTTCAGATTTGATTCAGCTTTGATTAAGATTTAATTTGATTCAACTCTGATTTACTTGGGTATATGGTAGCTATAATTTTTTGTCTGCATGTTCTTTTATATAGAAATTATCTCACTGCTTAGGCAGTGTTTAATTACATTTATCCACTTAGCACTTTATTTTTTTAGATGTTTTTAAATAAAGCTATTCACAAATGAGGAAAATCACAAGCAATTTGTCACAGGAACCAACAATATTCACAATGCCAGGTTTAAAGTACAAACAAAACTAGAGCAGTTTCACACAAAATTTGATCAGTTTCACACTGATTCAAATTGGTAACTCATCTTTTTTGAATTGCTTATTTTTAAAAAATCATGTGTTTGAGAATCGGACTACAATGGTTGTGTTTTATGGTTTTATCTTTCAACTGGCAGATTGCCATTAATCAAAAAAATCTATATTTTTACCCAGACCTACTGTACACGCTCTAAGATACCTGCAGGGCAATAGGGTGAAACCAAACTTGTGCATGGACCAAATAACCAAACCAAATGTAAAAACAGTCAAAATGAGTTGTGCAACTTAGCGAAAGGCTGAAAATGTTGGATTTACAAACACAGTTGCACCACAGACATACATCAAGACGGTTGATGGCCTGATGCCCCACAGTGCCAGAGAAACCAAAATCCTGCTCCCGAATTACACAACAACGTCTGTGTGGTTAAGTGTCACGCTGTTTAACACAACTTTCTCTTCATAAAGCCCACGGACAACACTAATCAAATATTTCTGGGTGGAAAATCAGAGAGTTTGTACGAGGCTCAAAAGGCTCTCATAAAAAGCCTTCAAAATATCAGACTCGCCTCTAATTAAAATCACAGTAACGCAGGGATGTGCTCATAGCCAACGTGGGAGACATAACGTGTGTGTGTGTGTGTGTGTGTGTGTGTGTGTGTGTGTGTGTGTGAGTGTGAGTGTGAGTGTGAGTGTGAGTGTGAGTGTGAGTGAGAGTGAGAGAGAGAATAAATGCAGAAAAAGAGAGTTATGAGAACGTGCTGGAAAAAAAAAAATCTCTGATTTCATAGAAAACGCTTCCAGCCATTGGAACGCTCTCAGCTGACTTCATCCTCCGTGAGCTAAATCTGAACCCATGGAGCACAAATTTCCAAAGTCTTAAAGTCCAAAGTGTGTTAATAAAGGGCATATTTGACGCTAATGCATAAGGAGGATTCAACGTCGTCCAGTTTTCCTCACTCATGATATAGACAGCTAATCGGCCTCATGTGGTTTTCAAAGACCAGGTTCTGCGTCTGGTTTGTATATTTTAAATTTCCTAGTCTTCTGATTCTGAGTCCTGCCCCACAGCCATGGATTATTACACCAGATAAGTACAATTGCCTCTGAGGTCAAATTAACAAGCTTCACATAGTCATTTTTCTGTAATCTCCAGTCATAGCTAAGAGGGAAATGAAAACCGTAGACCCTGTGCTTCGCTATATGACACTTGTCCAGTAAAGTTACAAATGCAATACAACATCATCCTCATTTCCCCAGCAAAGAAATTAAGCAGGAGAATTTTGCAAGAGTCTCCCCTCCCTAAAGTTCATTTCCCATGACCTCCACATGTGTCCAAGAGCGTTTCTCAGCTCTGCAGGCAGGAAATGCACCGATGTCAAAGGTCGAGGCAATGCCTAGGACAACAGAGACTTTAATTACAGTCAGATTGTCTTGTAAACAGACATACAACTAGAGACATATTTAGACACACAACCTCCAAATCTTCACTCATAAACAGCCCAGTCTGCAGTAACAGATCACACGAATGCTGTTCCTGCTCAATGCATTACATTCATTCATTTATTTTCAGTAAAATAGTTTGTTCCAGACCTCACATGATTTTTCTTCACATAGAGCTGGAATGTGCAATCAACTGCATGCAGGTTAAAGAAAACTGGAAAAACTTTAGCTAACTTTTCTCCTCATTCCAAGCTTTAAATATGAAAGAACAAACACACTTGCATAACGTGTTACGATCTTTCAATTCACTTTCCTATCAGACTCAAATATCTACACCTGCTGTATAACTGTGACATTTCTATAAAACGTTTTCAAAGTTCTTCCCATGTGCTTACTTTCTATCTGTCAGCCTTCTGCAAAATCCCTTTACAAACAAAAGCCAGTTCCATAATGACATCAACCTCCAGGAAGTGACATCATTCGTTTTGATGGTTAAACAGCACAAATGTCAGCGCATATTAGAAACTGCCACAAAATTGCCACTTTTAAAGCATTCCAACCTATCTGATCAAATTACAAATCTGTATGATAATATCAAAACTTTAAAAGATGTTCAAAACCAATATGACAATGACAATTAACAATGACAAACTCGTGCAAACGAACTCTCAAAGTGTCCCTCGGCTCTTTATTTCCATCCTCTTGACTGCATGCCGTTGTAAAAATTGCAAAAAAGTTATAAAATGGAAATTTGAAAGAAATACTTCCTTTATTTACAACGCAAGCATATTCATGTCATGTTCAACACAAACTGAACAACACAAATGACACAACTAAAGAGATCAAACCCAGAGCTAATGAGTAAATCGTTCAGTGCTTACGGTGTACCTTCGGTCAGGCGGTCGGCTGTGTGCATCGCCATCCATCCCTGCTGCAACCTGCACGGCTCTGAAATCCCTGGCACTGTAGGACAAAAAGCAAACACTACTGACTTATGGTACAGCCTTAAGGGAGTGCTAACAGATAGAGAGGTTAAACTAGATGAGTCAGTTCTGCAGAAGGTGGTGCATCCCTTCCCATCTTACATGCCACTGTGTCAATAATAGGCATGGTTGGCTTGTTGAAAAACAAACATCTTGGTCTCAAACCAGTCTGGTTTAAAAATTTAGCGTGCTGTTCTCCCAGTTGGTTTTACAAGGGCTCTGGCCACCTTTCATCTGGTCCAGCTTAAAGACCAGCTTTAAGTCCAGCAAACCAGTTTAGGCTCTTTTAAGTTCTTTCAGCAGGGTGTGTAGAGGTATTTTCCCAAGGAGGGGAGGATCTTTACTTTATGTTGTCAGTCAACATTTTATTTAGTCACAGCTACAGGTATGAAGCTTTTTTACCTAGTTATTTATTTTTGGAGCATGCAGTCCTAGCTAAGTTAGTCTAATAATATGGTTTTTGCACAAACACGATAAGACCAGAGTTCGAATCCCGCTTCAGCATATAATTTTTATTTTATAAGCCACACAAACTTGCTAAACGAACTGGTTACACTTTACTTGAAGGGGTGTGCATAATCATGACATGACACCTACATAATCATGACATGACACATGAATATGAAGGTTTTTTTATGCATGTTTATGACAACTGTCATTAAGTGTCATTCACTCAGTTATGTAATTTTTAATGCAAAGATGACATTGTTTGAGATGTCTTTGTTATGGCCTATGGTTAGGGGTAAGGGTAGGGGTAGGGTTAGGTCAAATAATGTCATATTTGCATTAAAAATGACATAACTGAGCGAATGACACTTAATGACAGTTGTCATAAACATGCATAAAACCTCCTTCATATTCATGACATGTGTCATGTCATGATTATGTAGGTGTCATGTCATGATTATGAAGGTGCCATGTCAGTCTTATGCACACCCCTTCAAGTAAAGTGTAACCAATGAACTTAATAGCCAGCGATCACCCTTAAGTTGTGTCACATGGAAAATGACAACTTTGGCATTTTGATAACTTCCTTTTGTATTCAACATAAAAAAATTGTACCAGCTTAATCAGATGCAAACTTTGCATGGCTGACTGTCAAGAAGAAGTCAAAATCATCACTTGAAGCCCTAGTAGCTTGACAATTTTTTAGTTATACTATTCCTTTATTCAACAGACCATGTCTATCATGGCTAAAAATGAAAAAAATTAGGGATGCACCGATATGAAAATTTTGTCCGATACCGATAACCGATTATTCTTTATTTTTGAAAGCCGATAACCGATATGTTGGCCGATAAATCTATATCCAAATTGTTATATACTTTTTGAGAGCCTGATTACAAAAAAGGTCTCATCATTAAAAGCCACATCCCAAACACTTCAACATAGTGTGCCGTCTCGCAAATCTAAGGAGAGTTTCAGAAGAATATTCACACACACATTTTCCCTACAACGATAGTTGACGATATATTCGAGCAAGTATTTTGTCACTAATCCAAGTCAATTCTCAAAAAAGTGGGTGCGTGCCTTTAGTGTGTTGCACTTGTCCAGTCGTAATTTCCCCCCTCAGATTTAAAGCATTATTCCAGCTGTTGTCATATACACGACAAACTTGTGTATTCTGAGGAAATATTGCTCTTTAGGGTGTTAGTCACATGTATCTAATTTGGGGTCGACGCCAAGTCTCAATTCAATTGCTTATGAGTCTCAAATCATTTAGTTAACGAGTGAAGTCTCGTGTTTTCATCTTCGGTTAACCACTACAGCACGCCACACTAACCACACACTAACTAGGTTATTTAGTTTGACCAGTTAAATTGAACTCGGCAACAGACGAGCACGGATCACATGAGGATTTCCTGTTCTTTTCTTTTTCTGAAATTGGTGAATGTTTCAACCACAGCTTTGACAACATCATGTGATGACCGTTTAAACATGTTTTGATTGAGTAATTCTAAAACTAATTTTATAGGTAGCGTTTTATGTATCTCAAATGCAAAAAGTTGAATTATACCTTTTTTTTTATTTTATTTTTTTACATAATTTGACAAAATTAGAGATTGGCTGAAAATGGCACACAATATAAATAGCCTATACTTCACATGTCATGTATCATATTTCATAGGGTTTCTTTAGTAAAAAAGTATACTAAAATAAAATAAATAAATAAACACAAGTTTTAGGTTATTGCAAATGATTTAGAGAAATATAGCTTTAAACGTAAAAACAAATCTTTTTATAATAGATTTTCAGAATCTGGCACAATTGTAAAAAAAAAACCTGCATTTACAAAGTAGCTTTTTGATAAAGGCACGATAAAAGGTTCCCAAGGCTTTATATAACATGAAAAATTGTTTTAATAAAACTCAACCTCTGGGACATAGGCCAATAGTGACTGAAATCAATAAACATCTACATAATATGCAGCTTTTCCAAGTTTTTTTTAATTTTTTTAAGCAATACACTTTGTGTACGAAACAGGCTGAAATTTTAGCCATTTAGGCCTTAATTTCCATCTCCATTCTGTATATTCAAACTTGCACATCACATTCAGTTTAAGATTATCAGTGAATAACTTAAAATTGGGTATGTTCCTTACAGAAAGCTACTGTAGGCCCTAATGTGTGGGCTCAAAAGACATTGCAAGTTATATTTATTTATTTATTTAGTCATTTAGCAGATGCTTTTATCCAAAGCGACTTACAAATGAGGACAACAGAAGCAATCAATTGTAGTATTAAAACAACTAAAAACAGATCCAAAACTAAAACTTTATAAATACTACCTAGACAGACAGACAGATAGCTTTTTTATCCCTTTTAGAGCCTGAATCAGACGTGATCATTATTAAAGGTTCTTCATGAAACCACAGATGCCACGTGTATGACATCTAGACCCAAGATGAATGAATTTAAATGGGACACATCATGTGTTTATTGTACTATGAAAACATGCTGTAACTTTTGGAAATCAAAACTTCTAAAATCCATTGATTAACACAAAATGATCCACATTTGCTTTTCAATCATGACTATGTGGTGTTCAGAATCATAAAAAGGCAAATGCAGATACTATTATGCCATGAATGAAAGCAGCAACAAATTGTGTCTCATTTCATATGCTGTCTACAGTACATAGAAGTCTTAAAGGTAAAAAAAGACAATACAAATGGAATGCTATGACCTCTTCAAAAAGTACATGTAATAATATCCAGTTCACCTCCTTGGATTCTCATAAACACTTTGGTCAGCGTATCACCTGTGATGATGTTGTAGCTGATCATTGCAATATGCGAGATGCAATAAAGGCAAAAATATATATTCTTTAAAATCTTATTTCACCTATAAATACAATAAAAGGCAATTAGGACATATAGTAGATGTCTGTGATTACCGATGAATGGGTAAATAAATTGTAGAGCCGACACGATCAAATATCCTATCTGGCCGAATGTGCTGAACCAGAGACGTTTTAAAAGAATTAGACAGTTATGTGTAAAATACGTTATGCATTGGTTATAAAGAAAGCATAGCAGTGCTATGTTAAAGGCGTAGTTCACTCAAAAAATGACATTTTGGTCATCATTTACTCAACATCCTGTAATTTAGATCCCATTTTGTCTTTTTTTCATCTGTGAAATGCAAACGTTGGGTGGAATATCTGAGCTGCTCTTTTTTATGGTGAGGAAAGCATTACAGAATATATTTATGAGATAGTGAATTGGTGGGTTTTTGTTAAATGTGAGCCAAAATCATCACAATTAAAAGAACCAAAGACTTAAACTACTTCAGTCTGTGTGCATTGAATTTATTTAATACACGAGTTTCACAATTTGAGTTGAATTACTGAAATAAATGAACTTTTCCACGACATTCTAATTTATTGAGATGCACCTGTATATCATAGGACTAGAAAAATAGACTTAATTTTCTATACAGATATTGCACTGACTACTATATCTTGCTTTAACTATCCTGTTTTATTTAAAATAAGTAAAGGACAATCAACCCCAAAGAATAAATGAAAAATTACAAATATACAGTGGGTACGGAAATTATTCAGACCCCCTTAAATTTTTCACTCTTTGTTATATTGCAGCCATTTGCTAAAATCATTTAAGTTAATTTTTTTTCCTCATTAATGTACACACAGCACCCCATATTGACAGAAAAACACAGAATTGTTGACATTTTTGCAGATTTATTAAAAAAGAAAAACTGAAATATCACATGATCCTAAGTATTCAGACCCTTTGCTGTGACACTCAAATATTTAACTCAGGTGCTGTCCATTTCTGCTGATCATCCTTGAGATGGTTCTACACCCTCATTTGAGTCCAGCTGTGTTTGATTATACTGACTGGACTTGATTAGGAAAGCCACACACCTGTCTATATAAGACCTGACAGCTCACAGTGCATGTCAGAGCAAATGAGAATCATGAGGTCAAAGGAACTGCCTGAATTTGTAATTTTTCATTTATTCTTTGGGTATATATATATATATATATATATATACTGTCAGCCAAGAGTTATACAGTCATCAAACTATGAAATAACACAAATGAAACTATGGGAATTATCTAGTGACGCAAAAAAAAAAGGAAACAAATCTATTTTAGACAAATTTATTTAATCTATTTTATATATATATTAAACTTAAAGTTCAAATGTACACTTGATGATGCTTTTCCCTCGGCATCCACTTCAACTAATCAACTTAAAATAATAATAATAATAATGATGATAATGATAATAATAATAATACTAGCAATAATGATAACAATATTGATAATGATAATAATAACAACAATAATAATAGTTTTGTAATCAAATTTACATATTCAATTTACATTTGTCAACATGTTTTTAAGATCAAGAGGAAGATATATTCAGTTCAGTGTGTCCAAACTTTTGACTGGTACTGCCTGTATGTATTTATTCATTTTATATGTATGTTATTTTCTAGAAGCATTGATAACAGAACAATTCCTATAATTCTGGATCCTATAATGGAATTGATTAAATTAAATGAAGCCGAGGACACTGAACTAGTTTTCCCATGTCCTTATGTGAAGACAACAAACAATCCCTGTCACCGTCCATCTGTAAAGACAAAAACTCTTGAATGTTCGATATGTTCAATATATCTCATGAATGATCAGAAAAAAATGCAAACTCACCTGTTGAACAGTGCCGCTTTTCTCTCTTTTGTGGTTTTCCATTAAAAACAAGCCTTCTGAGATGTCCTGCTGCACTAGATGGAGGTTCCCCATGTCATGGACTCCAGCAGCAGTTAAAGTGCTCCACCTGATTAAACCGTATTATAGCTGCCGGACCAACATTTGCTCAACAGTCTCACTTTATTGGGAAATAGTGGAAAGTACCTGAACTCTGTACAAATGTAACGAAACAAAATGCACTGGGATAGATAGATAGATAGATAGATAGATAGATAATTGAGCAAGTGTCCACAGTCTTCCTGAGTGTGAAACAAAACAATGCACAACTTAGATAATTAGATACATAAGGTGCATCGGGATATGTTGCGTTGTGTTGCGTTGTGTTGCGTTGCGTTGTGTTGTGTTATGGTGTTATGTTGTGTTATGGTGTTATGGTGTTATGTTGTGTTATGTTGTTATGTTATGGTGTTATGTTGTGTTATGGTGTTGTGTTATGTTATGTCATGTCATGGTGTTATGTCATGTTATGGTGTTATGTTATGTCATGGTGTTATGTTATGGTGTTATGTTATGTTATGTTGTTATGTTATGGTGTTGTTATGTTATGGTGTTATATATTATTCAGTAAAAGCTTATGCCATTATTTTAGTTTACTATTATTGAATGTGGTTAATCAAAAGGCTGATTTTGATTCATTTTTAACTTTAACTTTTGACCTTCTGTTTTACCATCTGCATTGCTATTGGTGGTTATGGGTATTTTAAAGTACAACACGGATTTAAATAGTTCAACAGGCTGGTAAATTAACAATATGTGTTAATTATATAGCTTATTAAATGTAGGCCTAAATAAACACAAGACAATGTTAAAAACGCTTCTGCTTAAATGTTGAAGTTGAAATCACATAAGCAGTGTTTTGGTTTCATCATCTACGGAAAATGTACGTTTATGAAAAGAAAAGGGGAAAAAATGGACTAGGTGAAAATAAAATCCACTAGGTGGCGCCATCAGGCTTCGCTGTCCTCGTCTGAAGCGTGTGACTGACGTTTTGAACTGTCAAAATGCGCTGGAAGTTACTGGAAAATGTATTAAAATTACAAAATGTCTTAAATTTATTTATGTTACGTTTTTATGAACTCAATTAAAAAAGTTTGTGGTAAAAGTCTATTAAAATATACCTTTTGCAAGGTGAATTTAAAGTATATTCTTGAAGTGCTTCATAGAAAGATAATTGTCATTTCTTTACTCCATCACGTTGATATTTTACAGTAGCCTACTGATGTTTTATTACAGAAAACATGAGATAAGGTGACGCACCTGTCTTTTTACCTCGTCTTTTTGACGACACTGTCAATTAAAATCTAACAGTATCTATAGAGAAAGAAAATCAAGACAACATACTTGTCTGTTATTTTAATTTTGTTGTAATCTATTTTGTTTTGTCAAAATGTGCGTATTTTAAGTTAAAAACAAAGGGTGGGGCGATCAAGACATCCTCGTGACAAATAAAATAAAATATGAAAAATAAAAATATCTATATTAAATCAAAGTTCTGTCAAGTTCTGAAAATGCAGGACTCCTCCCATGGCGAAGGTCAAGTTTTTAACATTCATGAGAGAATGTTTTCCATTGGACGGTTAAGATGGAACGTCTGCACAGTCTAATTAATATTCATGAGGCAAGCCATTGCCAACAGAAGATGAACGAGGCAACGTTGGCATGGCGTACTTAATATTCATAAGCCCAGCCTCAGGCATAGTAGGATTGGTGATTTCGTTCTGTACCTAATGAATAACCGGAAGCGCTCATCTCTGTGATCTCAGGCACTTCGCTCTCTTTGATCAGTCTTCTACAATTTTTTTTCTCTCGCAGAAAATCCCTTGGAGTTTCATTGGGTAAAGTTGCACACACTGTCAGTTTACCTCCACCTTGTATCACTGCATCAAGTTTTGCTCCTGGGCGCTGAGGATTAATTTTTACACAAAACAATTGCGATTTTTGCTGGAAGATGGTGAGTGGATCATGAAGTGCTGATGAAAGCTATACAAAATATATAGTCAATAAAAAATGCTTCAGGTTATAATTGAATGCAAATAACAATACCATGTCTGATGCATTAAAGAGTTATGTCTAACCAGGGTTTTAAAATGAAATCAGAGGTTGTCTAAGCTTGTTTGTTATTATAAAGTAGCAAAAGTCATTAACATGCTTTGGTTTGAGATTATTCTCTCATTCGGATGACAGTAGCCTATGCAATGTAACGCACTCCTGTCTTTTTCAGTGATTCATATAGCTTAGTTGGCTGTGATAGGCTTACTTTTCTATTTCTGTATTACATACAGTAGCCTAAGTCATTGTTGTCATAACAGCATCATATGCAAAAGAAAAAAGTTATTTACATATCTTTACATTGATTGATTCGTTTGGTTTTCCGACATCCATTTATGCATGTCCGCACTGGTCTAGACTGCGCCACGGGTTTTGTGCTTTAATTTAACGTAGAGCATTTGATAATACTTCTAATGCATTTGATTAGCGCACTGTTGAAACGCCTATAATATTGAAAACAAATTATCAAAGCGATCCTCTTCAGTTAGTTATTTTCACGCCTTGGGTTTTTTTTAAGACATGTCAACTGTCCTAACCCTGGTTGACGCCCTGGAAATCCACTCTTCCAGTGATTGATTCTTGAATCTGAGGTGGAAGAGATGCCACAGGATTAAAAAAAAAGGTTAAATCAGCTCGCACGGTGATTTATGTTTGTAGTAGACTGCTAAACCGCGTTTAATTTGACTTTGGTAATGAACCATGTGCAGTTCGACTCATTTCCCGGAATCGGTTCTTTCGAACAGTTCAATCTGAATCCCTCACGTAATCTCTGACATTCTACACGACCAGAGAAACCATATGAAAGCTAATTTACTCAGTTTCTGCCTAGTTATAAATACATAATAATAATAATAATGTTTTTTAAATCGTTTATTGTAAGTTCCAGTATGTTTTAGATCCGATTCGGCTCATACAAACAAAAATTCAAAACAATTCAAACTAAATGAATTTACATAAAATAAAATAAAATTGATTTACATATTTTACATCAATGCATGTTTTGTTAAATGATGTTGTAGTGCATTGGTTTACAGTGATGGGGGTAATATATTACAAGTAACGCGAAGATTACTTTTTTCAAGTAACTAGTAAAGTAACGCATTACTTTTTAATTTACAAGAGAATATCTGAGTTACTTTTTCAAATAAGTAACGCAAGTTACTTTTTTAGGTTAAATCAGCTCGCACGGTGATTTATGTTTGTAGTAGACTGCTAAACCGCGTTTAATTTGACTTTGGTAATGAACCATGTGCAGTTCGACCCATTTCCCGGAATCGGTTCTTTCGAACAGTTCAATCTGAATCCCTCACGTAATCTCTGACATTCTACACGACCAGAGAAACCATATGAAAGCTAATTTACTCAGTTTCTGCCTAGTTATAAATACATAATAATAATAATAATGTTTTTTAAATCGTTTATTGTAAGTTCCAGTATGTTTTAGATCCGATTCGGCTCATACAAACAAAAATTCAAAACAATTCAAACTAAATGAATTTACATAAAATAAAATAAAATTGATTTACATATTTTACATCAATGCATGTTTTGTTAAATGATGTTGTAGTGCATTGGTTTACAGTGATGGGGGTAATATATTACAAGTAACGCGAAGATTACTTTTTTCAAGTAACTAGTCAAGTAACGCATTACTTTTTAATTTACAAGAGAATATCTGAGTTACTTTTTCAAATAAGTAACGCAAGTTACTTTTTTTTCTCTCCAATTTATTGATTGACAGCTCTCCTGTCCCCATGTTGAGAGAAATCAGATGTTACTGTAGTTCTAAAATAAATATGAATATGCATTAATTCATCTCACTCAGATTCAGTATTCCTCAAAATGAATAAAAATAATGCAACTCAGAATATGACGCAAACCTGCAATAATTCAGTGTTAAACAACACAAATATCCTTTATGTATTTAATCCCATTCTATTTGCTTCTGACCTTCGATGATCCAGTTCAACCGTACTAATAAGCCAAAATTACTCTAGACAAACATTTGTGTCTTTTTTTATTGCTGAAGTGTGTTGAAATGTCTTTTTCTGTATTCTGCTGTACGGACGTAAATTTTCATTTCCTTCAGCCTGAGGCTTATTCATTTCACGTCTGGTGTGAAAAGGCTTTTATATTTGCCAAAAATATAACTTTTTTATTTTAAAAACAAACAAGCAAGCCCTGTCTAGATTTAAAAAAGTAACGCAAACGTAACGTAACGCATTACTTTCCACAAAAAGTAACTAAGTAACGTA